GATATTTAAGACTGGTATCTGATGGTATGGAGATTAAACAGTAAGATGGACTGGGTGACGAGTGTTCAGGCAAACTGGTAATGACATCCAATTAACAGTTTACATTTATTATTTGTTAATATTCATTCCCCATTTTATGTTTGTATTACATTTCTCCCAAGTGTTGCACAGCAATATTTGTACCCCTTGTGGCCACACATCAAAGGCATACGAGAATGCAATTATCTTCGGCTAGTTGTAATAGACAGCCATTAATACTATTTAGTGATGCAATTAGTTTTGAGCACTAGTGAAACATTGAATAAGCGCCTTGATGCTAATTTCCCAAACGAGTTTGATAATTTCTTGCTGACCATGCATTTCCCAGTCTTGAAAAAATTTTTTTTTCAAAACAGAAAAATACAAGAATATAGTCAAGACTTTTAGAACCAAAAGCTATCATTTCCGCTATTATAAACTAGGTCAAAGAGCCTTACAATGTATTTACAAATGTCCTTCCCATACCCCCCCCCCCCCCCATTAGAAGTGCCTTTCAAATAGAACAAAACAAAAATTAGATGCATTGCATGCTGGAACTCTTAACAAAAAAAAAAAAGACCACCATAGATGCACCAGTCATTTATGTTGCCACATGCTCCTGAGAGAAGATATGATAGCCATTAGTAATTCATAGGCCACTCATGATATAACAAAAGCTAAAAAATAGGCTCCTAGGGCTGGCAGCACATTGGCAAACCATACCCCCTATTGCGGACGCAATGTAAATATAGTACCCCCTAAAGCAGACATTTAAGAAAAAGACACCCCCTATTTCAGACATATTGAGAACATCCTACCCCCTTTTGCGAGTATTCTCTGCCGTTTTTCGCATTCAGGTGGAGTGTGATCAACTCAAACAAGTTACTGTGTATGCAACTCCTGTTGGTGTCATTCGTTGTTTGATGAAGACAGATGAGAACTATTGACATGATTGTGAATATGATCATTTATTTGATGCAATGCACACAACTTTGCCAGGATTCTTATTCCATCAGATACCATAACGCAATTTTATGTTCAGCTCCGATTGACTTTGGCATGAACACAGGGTAGAAAACCCAGAAAAAGCAGGAGCTGAATGCGAAAGGAGTTTCGGAAGTGTGGACGACTCCTGGGATGACTTTCTGCATGCGGCTTATTGTAATTGACGAAACAAAACGGAATAACACACATAATGGAAATTAAACTGTAATCAGTAAAAATGGGTTTTATTGGCACAGTATTTACAAAATACATGTCGAAAATATTTAATACGTACATGGCTCGCTTCGCTAATTACAGATAATCAAAAATCTAATCAGCGAAACGAGGGTCTTACACGTACAATATTAACAATTTTCGGTCAAAGCTTGACCAGTACTCACCTTTCAGTAGTGTATATAACGACACAAGACATTTGCCGAAAATAACAATACAATCAGTAAATGGTTCGTTTCGCTAATTACAGATAATCGAAAATCTGTAATCAGCGTAGCAAGGGTCTTACACGTAAAATATTCACAACTGTCTGTCAAAATTTGGCCAGTATATTTACCTTTCAGTAGTGTATATAACTCAATGAAAATTTTGCCAAAAATAACAGTATTTTAGGTAGTGATTGGTTCGCTTCGTTAATTATTGTACCTGCAAGACCCTTATTTCGCCGCGTGGTAACATTACGCGCGTTATCCAGTTTCGTTTCTTTGATTACAATAAGCCTTCTCGCCGTGAAGTGGCTGGAATGTTCAGGCGGACGTTTGCACTGTCTTTCAAAGATGCAATGTTTAACTTCACCTACTTTATAAAATTGTGTTAATCTACTGGTTTGTCTAGGTAGAATTGCCTGGCCCTACCTCTGTATTTTACCTGTACTTGGAACATCACGAATCAGTCAATGTGTATTATTAGGCTGTGTAGTTGTGTGGGTAATATTCGCCTTGTGCTAGGAATAAAAACGAGTGAATTTGGCTGAAAGTGTTGATTGTACCAAGGTACTGTCACAATGTAGCAATACGAGTGCTGTAATATGTTGCAATAAATAAGGCAGTTATGGTGTGGTGTAATGTAGCAATAGCCTATACTTCATTCTGTATACTGCCGAGTACTTAATCTAAACACTATTTTTAAAACCCCTGTACTTGTCATACAAGTCCAAAATAGCACAGATGTTCAAGGCTGTATTCTTTATCAGAGAAGAACTCTTTTCACCAGTTGAGACCACTCTTACATCGCCTGCTAATGCCAACTCCCCCTCCCCCAATTGATTTTGGTGTATTCATAGAGGCTTTTAGCAGGCGATGTTAAAGCATGCAGCTTAAAAAAGAAAAGTACACAGAGTCCCTGAAAACAGCAGATTTTTTTTTATTTTATATAACTTTACAATATGATTACTTCTTTTTCACCATTGCTGCTTCCTCTGCTGCCTCCTTGGCTCTCTTTGCCCTGATACCAAACAACCTGGCGTGAGAACGTGCCACACACATAGCTTGGAACACGCTGTGTTTCTTTTCTTCATCTGTAATTGCTCGTGCTTTATCTTTCTTGTATACACGTGTTATTGGCATAACTGGACCAGAAAGCTGTTTGGCCATCTTCAACTCTTCCTCCTGAAAATGTAGAAACAATAAAGCTCAGAAAGATGTGAGCTGCTTGATGTAAAATTCAGACCAGTTGCAGGACACTTAAACTGAAGGTACAATTAATTTTGGTGTGATATGTGCTTCACTGGCAGAATTATTTTATAAACTGAATAATTTCGTCAATTCTGTGGTTTGTTAAAATGTTTACATAGTTGTAGTGTATGTTCATGCACTATAACAGCATTCCAACAGTTTTTGTAGCAAGGGTTTGTTAATTTTTCATTTTTAAAATAAGAACACAGAAATGAGCAGTAATTTAAATCGGGAGGATCATCACCTGGGCACGCATGGGAATTGAGTCCCGAACGACGATAACACCACACACTAAAATCGCAAAAGCTCATGGGTAGACGCTTGTTTGTAAACAATGACATGCTATGGCCATTTGACGCATGCGCAGGTGACGAGTCCCTCGCTTTAATAGTAATTTACTCTAGCATTCCGAGTGATTTTCAAAATTCAGGGTTCCCTTTTCACTTGTAGCATAGGGTACAAAATCAAAATAGTGGGTAAAATACACTCTACAGAGTAAATGGGAACACTGCAGTATATACTGTAAAAACCCTCAAATAAGAGCCACTTTGTAACACATTCATTTCTGGGTGGTGCTTATTTGAGGTAACATGTTGACAACTTTGTAGCCAGTGGCTCTTAAACCAGGGTCATCAAACTTTTTCATTGTGAAATAGGGAAGGGCATAGCAGTGTTCTCCCCAGGCCTTTCAAGCACTGCGGGCCCGCGTCGCTTAGACAAACAGCCGCGTCGCTTTTGTTTCGCCCGCGATCCTTGAAATCCTGCCCGCGATGCTTATTCACGTTGTATTGTTTACAAGTGTCAGCCTCGTCTAGCACATCTTTAAAACAATAACATGTATTGATCGAAAGGTAATCTCGCCTTTGTACATAGTTAGCCTTACACAAACAGTGATAAAAACGGAAGTCTACAAGAAGTTACTAAGTCTATCAAGGGTGCGGAGCAGGCAAACCCAAAATACTAGGGTAGTAATAATTTGCCCATTGCGTCGGGATGGTCTATCCCGAGTTGCTGCACTGCGATTAATTGCGTTTTTACTACTTCATCGCCAGTGACACTAATTACCAAGAATTAAAAAAACAAGTGAAATTAAGTCGCATCGGGGAAAAAAAACTGTAAATAAATCGAAGTAAAAATTATTCAACTGCAGACGAGACGGACAAGGAAAAAACGAACCCTGACCTCTAGAAATACCTCATTCATAGTGCGTCATTACCGAGGAACGCCACCCTAAGGCGACGTAACGCATGTAGTGACATCACAACCAATGCATGCTGGGTTACAGCGGAGATTTTGACTGAGGTAACAAAGATGGGCGGCGCAGAGTGCATTTTTTTCCGCGATGTTTAAAACAACATTTCGTTGGCGATTTTGATGTAATTTCTTAGTTAATCATCAATGAATCGTTTTAATTAAGCAAACATTCTAAGTTTGTGTATTTTTAAACAAAAAAGTCAGGACCGATGATCGCACAGCAGCGGTGATACCCGTTCACGCAATGCCGTCAGCTGACTATGTTACGGTGATCGTAGCGTTACACAAATAATAGATAGATCAATGAAAAATCGCTGACTTTAGTTTTGAAATGCCGTGTAGAAAAAAAATGTCATTATTGATTTATTAATTTCTTCATACAGATTTTACAAATTTAACAAACAAATCCCCCCCCCTTGGCTTGGCTTAGAGTCTGGGGAGAACACTGGGATAGGCAAACACACACACAACCAAAACAGACAAGTAATTATTAATGAGGTATCATTGCAATTAATTTATTCTGTAAAAATACTGTTATGGGAATAACAAATGTCAAATACGACGATTCGACGTTTCATCGATAATGTGTAGCGATGCCTGAAGTCACGTTTTACTGACAATGCGTAGCGATGCCTGAAGTCGGATTTGGTAGCACTTTCAGTGTCTGACCCTACACTCAATCACTTGTACTTCCGTTGTACAATTGTTTCCCAAGTTTAGTACGGCAAACTTCTTTCTTGAAAACTGGGAATAACTTGGGTGGCTGTGGCTGGCGTGGTGGTTGATTTGGTGACGATATCAAATAGTTTCGGATAGAATTGATCTGACCAGCATGCAGCAGCGACAGGAGAAGACATACTTGCAGTTATTTATGGCAAAAACAATAAATAAAAACACGTTTTTCTATAGATTTTTGCAGCTTGGGTACTTGGGCATTGTTTTAATTGCGCTAGACGTCTGACAGTACAGCTTTGGTTTATATTTCCTGTTTCATAATCAAGCCAGCTTATAATGATTTGTTAATGATATTCACGTACTTCACAGTCCACGCACAGGGTCAAACTATAGCCCCACCCCTATATAACCAAATACGAAACGATACCGAGAAAGTAACAATTACATGTATTAAAAACAATTTCCTGTGACCAATCGGAGAGACGAAATCATTCACGAAAGCCCAGGCCTGTTACAAGGCATTTTCTGATTGGTACAAGTTCAGATTATTTTCAATTCTCACAAATAGCTAATTTAAATATTTGGGTCAGGCGGGTCACGTAGACTTCACTTTGCTGTAAGACAAGTTGATCGCGCAAGTTTGTGGAACTAATCCACTCGACTTCAATTTTGATTATTTTCGGCAAGAGAGTCCTCTCCAAACTAATGCCAGTTATTTTGTTACTTCCCTGAAGATTTTGTCTCGAATCACCCCAAAACGAACTTCTCAAATGAAATGCAAAAAATAACCCAAAATCACGATCAGCGAGAGTGGGCTGCGTAATCATTACATTCTCACAGTCGGAGCTACGTCACGATCCCTCAAACGTTGCCAGGACCGGATTAACACCTCCGTTTTCCCCCACGCTAAGGAAAAAATCTTTTGTTTTCTGCTGACTTCCTGTTCCGGTCCGTCTGTGAGAATGTATTTTCGATACCTCCGATTTTCCGATAAAGGCGTTCTAAAATCATGACGTTCTTTACTTGGTTATAAAGACAACATTGACAATGAATATCTCAACGTGTCCTTCGGTGTTTCGGAAAAAAAACATACTAGTAGTTACTACTGAATAGTTTGTGAATTGGTCAATTGTGTGTCAGAAATATAAAATGGACAAGTTGACAGTCACATTCACGCTCTCAGTGCATTTCTTTCGTCTATCATTCTTCAGTTCTCAATTACACAGGACATCAGGCAAGTTATGGGGATAATCTTTATTTGTCTCACACCTTCTGTGGTGCAATAAACAATGCAGGGTGGAAGTGAGGCACGACAAGCTCGGTGTCTGCCTGATTGTAAACAACCGGGCGGCTGGCGCTTATTTCAGGGTTCTTATTGACAAAACCACTCAACTCTTGGTGGCTCTTAATGGAGGGTCAAATGTAACAAATTTTCACTGAGTGGCTCTTAATTGAGGGTGGCGCTTATTTGCAGGTTTTTACGGTAGAAGATGTCCATCTTCTATATCCTGCAATGTTTACATGATTTATCTGTCAATGCCCTGAAGACAAGGGACGACGTCTAAAGATCGATGTCTGATAAAAAACTTAATTCCTTTATTTTTTTCCAAACCCCCCTCACTCCCACTGAAACTTAATTGATAAATATTGGTCATGGCGTTAGACTACATTCACCATTAAATACAAATTGATAATTGGACAGGAGTATTGCATAGCAGTTGGTTGTCGGGTGCGTGTAAAAAGATTTTACAAATGCACCTCATTTGACGCAAAGATTTACACTCGAACCAAACCATTTTTCCGTTTTTTTTTCCTTTTTCGGTTATTTCTGTCCATGATTGGATAGAAAAAAAAACGAACTACAAATACTCCAAGATTGTTTTGACTTCATTAAAAAATAAAATCGTTTTTGTAGGATGGAAACTTTGAGGTCACCCCCCCCACCCCCAAACTAAAGCAAACAAGTTTTTTATCCGACATCGATCTTTTGACGTCGTTCCTAATAGAACTCAAACCATATTTGTTGATCTGAGAAAAATCTTAAAATATGTACCTGGACGATCATTTTCTACAAAAGACGATAGGGTAGGGTAGGGTAGGGTAGGGTAGGGTAGGGTAGGGTTCTATTTTTTTTTTTCATTTTCAAGATGTTAAACAGACCCTCAAGTGAAGTCTTTCTCTACACATTCAGCAACCAAGATAATGATCTTTCACCGTTTTCCCCACAGACCCTAATAACTTTTACATTGTAAATTCTGATGGTAATATTGTAATAAAATGTGGAAATTTTGCGACTTTTGTTTCTTCATTAGGTGTTGGAAATCAAGGACAATGCAAATAATTACGCAATTTCATTTTCAACAAAACATAATATGCATTTGCACAAATTTTTGGGTGTGGGTTTCCCCCCCGTCACTAAGTTGGACAAGGTAGATGAATGTAGAAACAATGTACAAACTTACAGTGCTATCACCCTTGCTAGGTTTGGATGCTTTCTTAGGGAAGAGAATCAACTTAGTACGGTATTCCTTTAACCTCTGTACATTAGCTTGAAGAGATTCGGCTGATTTATTTCGCCTCCTGTGGTCAACTGCAATACCAATTGTTGGCGCAAACTTCTTGTAGATTCCAGCAGCCTGCAATCAAATTACTGTGTCAATTATCAGTTAAACATTGAGAACAAGCAGCCAGTCGGCTGAGATAGCTCTGCTGTTAGCAATGCACATTTCAATTAAAGAACTGAAGACATCATTAGAAAATGAACAATATGTA